GTAACTCTATGGGTGTCTATGTAAGTCTATGGGTGTCTATGTAAGTCTATGGGTCTCTATGTAACTCTATGGGTCTCTATGTAAGTATATGGGTCTCTATGTAAGTCTATGGGTGTCTATGTAAGTCTATGGGTCTCTATGTAACTCTATGGGTCTCCATGTAAGTCTATGGGTCTCTATGTAAGTCTATGGGTCTCTATGTAACTCTATGGGTCTCTATGTAAGTCTATGGGTCTCTATGTAAGTCTATGGATCTGTATGTAACTCTATGGGTCTCTATGTAACTCTATGGGTCTCTATGCAAGTCTTTGAGTCTCTATGCAAGTTTATTATCTGGTGCGTGCCACGTGGAAGGTCCACCAGACTGGCGCAGTACTCTATGCAGTACTTAGTGCAGTGTTAGTGCAGTACTTAGTGCAGTACTTAGTACAGTACTTAGTGCAGTACTTAGTTGAGTACTTAGTGGAGTACTCTGGGAGGGAACCGACGAAAGCTCCCCCGGCACGCCGCTCAACGCAAGGAAACAATTTGTGATCATTTAGTCATAATCTCCGTGTGTCTATGTTGTGTGTCTATCTCTCGCTGTGTGTGTCTCTGTGTTGTCTCTCTCTCTGCTTGTGTGTCTCTCTGTCCGCGTGTACCTGATGACGGCTGCGTGTGTCGCAATGGAAACGTCGAATTGTATTAATCAAGTTATTTTCTTTCTGCGTGACTTTACTGAAAGAAACAGAGTCATTTCCGCAGTCACGGAAGCTTCAAGTCAAGTTTGAATAATTTAGTAATTCGACAATTTAAATATAATGTATGAATTCAATAACCGTTTGACGGTTTGATAATTATCTACTAATTAATTGGGGAACTAATAAAAAAAATGTTAGATTTTATTTATTTATTTCTTATTTAATAATAAGAATACGAATTTACCGCGGGACTAATTAGGCGGCGTGGCTTTGCTGCTTCTGCTAAGTGCCCCTGAACATGTTGGGCTCGTGTTAGTGGGTGGCGGTTGTTGTTGTTGTTGGTTGGTTCGTTGTTGTTGTTGTTGACCGGGTGAATTCCATAGTTTGGTGGAGGTGAGCGGGGGGGGGGGGGTGTTGGGCAGGGAGGGGGTGCCTCTGTGCGCATTTGTTCGTCATGTGTTTGTCATGTGTTCGTCATGCGCTCGTCATGCGCTCGTCATGTGTTTGTCATGTGTTCGTCATGTGTTCGTAATGTGTTCGTCATGTGTTCGTCATGTGTTTGTCATGTGCTCGTCATATGTTTGTCAGATGTTCGTCATGTGTTTGTCATGTGTTCGTCATGTGTTCGTCATGTGTTTGTCAGATGTTCGTCATGTGTTCGTCATGTGTTCGTCATGTGCTCGTCATGTGTTTGTCATGTGTTCGTCATGTGTTCGTCATGTGTTTGTCAGATGTTCGTCATGTGTTCGTCATGTGCTCATCATGTGTTTGTCAGATGTTCGTCATGTGTTCGTCATGTGTTCGTCATGTGTTCGTCATGTGTTCGTCATGTGTTCGTCATGTGTTCGTCATGTGTTCGTCATGGCCAAACCATCACGCGAACTCCGGGTCCTCCGACTTCTTCCCTGCACATGGATATTTATTTATTTAGATTATTTTTCTGCCACTCTGTTGAGCTATCGTTCGGAGCCAGGTCGCTTCTGCAAAATAAGTTTATGGCTCGGTGGCTTTATCTGGGAAGATGCAAAAAATGTATTTAGTTTAATTCGTATATTTTGTCACGTGATTTGTTTACATTTTCCTATCGTGTTTGTGGACTGTTGGTTGTTGTCGCGTTCTGACACATCCCAACTGGACATTTGTGAAAAAAATCGTTTTAAGGCTCATCGGATTACCTCACTATAAATACATATTCTCATCCTCGCAGTAGATTTTGGCCAACCGTCGAACAAAGAAAATGGCCAACGCATCACGTGGCGCTTTCAGATGCGCATCTTCTGCGGCCGTCTGGAACGTTCTTCCCTCCGACATTAGGAAGCCACTGGAGCCACGCACTTTAAGTATAGAATTGAAAACTTATTTCTTGAGGACTGCTTTTTTGCGTGCAGTTTGTTGTTCTTCCCCCGCAAACTCCGATTGTCACGGTTGGCTACGTACGGTGCGAAAGAAATGCAACGTAGAAACATGCAACATCAGTGGTGATTCTGTGAACCGCTCTTCTCCTAGGACAGGGGTCGGCAACCTACGGCTCCGGAGCCGCATGCGGCTCTTTACGGGCTGCTTCTTGACGATATGTACGTATGTACAGTATGTACTCAGATGAATTGCGGCTCTTGAAATACTGAATTTTGTACCGAATTGGAAAGAAATGGCTCTTCTTGTTATTTTGGTTGCCGACCCCTGTCCTAGGACCTCTCCCCCACCTAGGTCGACTCAGCTTTAATAATAAGTACTTAGTACTGGGCGTATACAATATATGACATCAACATTTAGCTTTTCCAACAGCATTATCCGAATTGTGTTATCGGCGTCACAACAACGGGCGCTGTTGCAGGTTAACGTCGCGATGAAGAACCACGTTTTACGATTTTAGATTAAATTTTTTTTTATCTTCAGCGATTTTTTGGTTGCATTCTCACCTTCTTGGGAGGGAATGAGAGAGGTAGGAATTTTAAAAACGCGAAGACATCGATTTCTTTCTAAACGCGATAACCGCCGCTTCAAAGACGCCCGTCGAATTCTTGATGTTTTTGGCTTTGTACTTTCAAAGCCGACCGATAGTCTCAAAGGAGGGCCCCACCAAAAGAGGCACCTGTAATCTGCCTAATTGATGTTAAATAGCGATCGGGTCAGCCAGCGTGCCTCGTCTCTGCGTCCGTGTTGAAACGCCGCGCTCCCCCTCCACAAAACTGCACATGCATTGTCATGAAAAAAAGCAACGTTTTTTTTTACGTGCAAAACGTACGCACGAGGCCGACTCATTACAACTCGCGGAGGATCGCTCCGCTCAACAAAATAGTTCCACGGCTCAATTCACAAAGTTCGAGTTTTAAATCGATGTCAAAAATTGAATTGCGTTTCATGGAAGCTGGTTCGTAAGTGCGGGTGTGAGTAAGTCGAGTGTTCCTAAGCGCGGGTGTTCACAAGTCGATGACTGTCCATGTGTATATTGCAACTTCTTTCGCATCGTATGTAGCCAACATGCTAATCGGAGGTAAATGCGTTGCAGAGTAAATCATCAGGTGTACATCACTGATGCTTATTCTTCTTCTTGTCATACGGCTGATGTAGATGCAGAACAACAATTCTATTTTCACAGTCAGGCGGTCAAACAAGGCAACCCTGTCCCGGGGCCTAATTGGCGCATTGTTGTTTGGCCCTGAACAGAGCCGTTGGTGTGGCTTGTTGTTATTGTTGCTGTGGATCGATGGTAGATGATCGGTCGCCGCGTTGATGGCATTCGTCATGATTTCTTACTTAACAGAGTGGGGTCGCGTGAAGCATGCCAACACCCACAGATCACTGTCCCAATACCACCACTCATGCTCTGGTGGAGCAAGTAGACTGCTCCACTCAGCTACCCCAACACAACCACGTGCACTCTGGTGGAGCGAGTGGACTGCTCCACTCAGCTACCCCAACACAACCACGTGTACTCTGGTGGAGCGAGTGGACTGCTCCACTCAGCTACCCCAACACAACCACGTGCACTCTGGTGGAGCAAGTAGACTGCTCCACTCAGCTACCCCAACACAACCACGTGCACTCTGGTGGAGCGAGTGGACTGCTCCACTCAGCTACCCCAACACAACCACGTGTACTCTGGTGGAGCGAGTGGACTGCTCCACTCAGCTACCCCAACACAACCACGTGTACTCTGGTGGAGCAAGCGGACTGCTCCACTCAGCTACCCCAACACAACCACGTGTACTCTGGTGGAGCAAGGGGACTGCTCCACTCAGCTATCTCGACATGGTTTAGAAAATCTAAACTACGATGGCAGCCTTGGTTTTTCAAACGCCATACGAGAGAAGCGGAAGACGACTGCTGCAGATTACTAAAACTAAAAACAACGGTGATTTTATTTTTATTTTACCAGGTAAGGCCTCACTGAGCTATAATACAGCATTTCTTCAAAAGCGACTTGGCCACAAATGATGGCTCGGCGAATTGGCTCTTTATGTGAAAATGTACAGCAGCCAAATACTCTTAACGCGTGTTGATTGTAAATGTGGAGGGGAAAACCCCAGAGGAACGTGAATAAAATCTACGCGACCACGGGGCCAGAAAGAGGACACACACACACGCAAACTCCAAATATAGAGCAGGCGTCAGGGTCGGGATCGAAACTCACGACCTCCTGCAGACCAGGCGAGGCAGTGAATATCTCCTGGTCACCGTGGCACCCGTAATGCACTGTGTCCGTAAGTTCTCCCATCACACCGTGGGGCACGGCCGTGAACCCGACCAATGCCAACACTAATCACGTCCGTGAAACGACGAGCAAAGAAACCTAAAGTATTCATAATTGAGGAAGAATTCTGGGGGGGGGGGGGGGGGGCGGTGGTGAGAAGTCGGATCCTTGAATGGAGATGAGTCTTCGCTTTCTAGACTTTCCTCCCAACCACCGAACTGCTACGACGCATCTGAGTAGCACAGTGGGGCGAGCACGAATTGCAACAGCAGCAGCAGCTGTTGTTGTTATTGTAGTGTTATGGAGGAGGCTAGTGAAGGATGCCACTGGTTAGTTGGAGGCAGTCGCTCCTCCAACAACAACGGAGGGCAGAGGAGCATCGCTCACAAGAACGATGGGAGCGCTGGGCAGCTGAAACACAGCGAGTTGGCACAGAAGGGGGCACAGGTGGTGCCATCTGCCACTCGTCACAGTCAGTGAAGCAATGGTACCTGCTGGGTCTTTCCCGTGACCTCCTACTCGCGGAGAGCCTTCGACACTTTACACGGCCTCAAAGTGCACCTGGCCTGGTACAGGCGCTGTGGTGACATCACCGCCACTTAGTGGTTAATGGCAGCAGTGGTGGGGGTGGCGGTGGTGGTGGGAGTAGTGGCGGTGGTGGTGGCGGTGGTGGTGGCGGTGGTGGCGGTGGCGGTGGCGGTGGTGGCAGTGGTGGCGGTGGTGGTGGCGGTGATGGTGGCGGTAGCGGCGGTGGCGGTGGCGGTGGTGACAGTGGTGGCGGCGGTGGCGGTGGTGGTGGTGGCGGTGGCGGTGGTGGCAGTGGTGGCGGTGGTGGTGGCGGTGGTGGCAGTGGTGGCGGCGGTGGCGGTGGCGGTGGTGGTGGTGGCGGTGGCGGTGGTGGCAGTGGTGGCGGTGGTGGTGGCGGTGATGGTGGCGGTGGCGGCGGTGACGGTGGCGGTGATGGTGGCGGTGGCGGTGGCGGCGGTGGCGGTGGCGGTGATGGTGGCGGTGGCGGCGGTGGCGGTGATGGTGGCGGTGGCGGTGGCGGCGGTGGCGGTGGCGGTGATGGTGGCGGTGGCGGCGGTGGCGGTGATGGTGGCGGTGGCGGCGGTGGTGGTGGCGGTGATGGTGGCGGTGGCGGCGGTGGCGGTGGTGGTGGTGGCGGTGGTGGTGGCGGTGGTGGTGTTGGCAGTAGTGGTGGTGGTTGTGGCGGTGGTGGTGGCTACGCTGCTGCTGCACGTGCCCGCCCATGATCCAGTGCTGAGGAGGCAGCAGTGAGGTTTGGTAGATCATCGCACAGATGTATGTATATATACTACATATATATTTAGTATATATACTATATATACTACATATATATGTAGTATATATACTATATATACTAAATATATATGTGTGGAAATGTTGGATGAACTTCTGTCGCAGCGTACGTGACCAAGCGTGCTAATCGAAGGCGGGGGCGAGGAGGGGGAAGGAAAATAAACAAACGCGAAAATTAGTTCCAAATAAAATATGGGTTGTGAAACTCCATTTCCCGTGGGTGTCTACGTGGAGGTGATGGTGGCGGTGGTGGTGGCGGTGGTGATGGTAGCGGCAGTGGTGGTGGCGGTGGCAGTAGTGGCGGTGGTGGCGGTGGTGATGGTGATGATGGTGGTGGTGGCGGCAGTGATTGTTGTAGTGGTAGCCGCATTGGTGGTGGCAGTGGTGGTGGCGGTGGTGATGATGGTGGCGGTCGTGGTGGTGGTGGTGATGGTAGTGGCAGTGGTGGTGGCAGTAGTGGTGGTAGTGGTGGTGATGATGGTGGTTGTAGCGGCAGTGGTGGTGGCAGTAGTGGTGGCAGTAGTGGCGGTGGTGGCGGTGGTGGTGGCGGTGGTGATGGTGATGATGGTGGTGGTGATGGTGGTGGTGGCAGTGGTGGTGGCAGTGGTGGTGGCAGTAGTGGCGGTGGTGGCGGTGGTGATGGTGATGATGGTGGTGGTGGCGGTAGTGGTGGTGGTGATGGCGGTGGTGATGGTGGTAGCGGTGGCCGCAGTGGTGGTGGCAGTAGTGGCGGTGGTGACAGTGGTGATGGTGATGAGGGTGGCGGTCGTGGTGGCTACGCTGCTGCTGGAGAGGGCAGTGCAGCAAGTGGACTAATCGCCATCTGTTTCCACCTGTACGGGATAGAGCGTTGCTCCCCGACGCGCAAGCCGCGGGTTTTCTACTCTCGCGCGTGAACAATGAATGCAATTCGCTCGTCATGAATTGGCCCTGCACATCTTACAAATGCAGATCCCAGTGTGGCAACAGCAGGACCCTCCTGACAACGAGCCACACTACTCGGTGAGGCTCACTCAGATACGTAATTACAGAATATACATTCGTTGCAATGATATTAGATCACTTTTTTATGCCCAAGGAGGTAAATCCACACGCGCATGCACCGATTTGGAAATGAAATAGAGCTACGCGTTTTACCTTTCTCTCGCGTCTCCACACCGCTGCATTGTTCCACCGCACAGCCGTTCCATCATCGCGATGCGTGTATACACACATGGTGCCATAATTGTACATCCATACACATTTTAACCCTCCCCCCCCCCAAAAAAAACTAAAACCTAAACAATGCTTCTGCGATGTTGCATTCCTTGCCAATGCCGTGGTTGGTCCACAGGGGTTTTGCGTTTTGACCATACTTCACCACGCTGGGTCGTGCTGGGTTGGTGAAGGGTGCGGAGCGGTTTGGGGGGTGGGAGGGAGGTCAAGGGGTGGGTTCACTCGCCGCTGATGTGGGCCATGGCTAGAGGTCAAACTCAGGTGGCCTGGTTCAAGGTGCGGTGAATTCATCGCTGATGTTGGCCATGGGCAGGGGTCAAACTCAGGTGGTCAGGTTCATAGTGCGGTGAATTCATCACTGATATTATTGGCCATGGGCAGGAATCAAACTGAGGTGGTCAGGTTCACAGTGCGGTGAATTCATCGCTGATGTTGGCCATGGGCAGGAATCAAACTCAGGTGGTCAGGTTCACGTGCACTCTGGTGAAGCAAGTGGACTGCTCCACTCAGCTACCCCAACACAACCACGTGCACTCTGGTGGAGCAAGTGGACTGCTCCACTCAGCTACCCCAACACAACCACGTGCACTCTGGTGGAGCAAGTGGACTGCCCCACTCAGCTACCCCAACACAACCACGTGCACTCTGGTGGTGCAAGTGGACTGCCCCACTCAGCTACCCCAACACAACCACGTGCACTCTGGTGGTGCAAGTGGACTGCCCCACTCAGCTACCCCAACACAACCACGTGTTCCCTGGTGGAGCAAGCGGAATGCTCCACTCAGCTACCCCAACACAACCACGTGTACTCTGGTGGAGCAAGGGGACTGCTCCACTCAGCTACCCCGGCATGGTTTAGAACATCTAAAATACGATGGCAGCCCTGGTTTTTCAAACGCCATACGAGAGAAGCGGAAGGCGACTGCAGCAGATTACTAAAACTAAAAACAATGGTAGTTTTTATATTTATTTTACCAGGTAAGGCCTCACTGAGCTATAATACAGCATTTTTTTCATGGTGCGGTGAATTCATCGCTGCGCCAGCATCTACCCCGTATAAATGTACCCTGTAGCGCAACTAACATGGTAATATTGTACTGGAGTTTGTCCAAATCACCAACGACGCATCCATGGTGATGCTTATGTTGCTGCTGATGATGATGCTTCTATTGCTGCTGCTGATGGTGATGCGTCTGTTGCTGCTGCTGATGACGATGATGCTTCTGTTGCAGATGGCGATGCTTCTGCTGCTGCTGTTGCTGCTGATGACGATTATGCTTCTGCTGCTGATGGTGATGCTTCTGCTGCTGATGGTGATTCTACTGCTGATGCTTCTGCTGCTGATGATGATGATGTTTCTGCTGCTGCACCTGTCCACTAAGCTCTGCCTGATGAGCCTGAACGAGCCACTCGCCTTCCAGAAAGATCTCCACTCAGTAACTCCTCGTTATCGTAATTAATGCACGGGGCACAGGGCATCAATGAGCCAATCAGTCATCTCGGTCTGCACCTGTGGACCCCGATCTCCGAACACGCGTTATTTGTAAAGTATTTGTCACGTGCTGTGATATGCACAATGACACAAATGTGAATTAATTGCACATACTTTAGGGATATTTTTTTCCCTTTCACTGTTTTTTTTGTTTACGATTGATATTTACGTCGTAAAAAAATACCAAAGATATATTTATATTTTAAAGTGACAAATTAAGCAGATGTCTCCCTAAGACATCTCTCTCTCTGCTGAAATAAATACGAGAGCATGTTTTTTCTTATTTTTCTTCTTCTTACACAGCCCTTGACTTAAAACTTTCGTGACTGCAGAAATTCATATTCTTGGGTCTTTTGGTGAAGTCACGTGGATAGGTTCAAAGAAAATAACAAAAGTAACAATAGTAACAAACCATATACGTGGCTTTTACCGAAATACCCAATTTATACTGGTAGGAACCTCTTGGTTACACCAGCCTACAGGGAATTATTGTGTCCGTCGTGCAGGGAGGGGCTGGGTGGGGAGGGATGGGCTGGGTGGGGAGGGGAGGGTGGGGAAGGGCTGGGTGGAGAGGGTGGGGCTGGGTGGGGAGGGGAGGGTGGGGAGAGGCTGGGTGGGGAGGGTGGGGAGGGGCTGGGTGGGGAGGGGATGGTGGGGAGGGGGCTGGATGGGGAGGGTGGGGAGGGGCTGGTTGGGGAGGGGAGGGTGGGGAGGGGCTGGGTGGTGAAGGTGGGGAGGGGCTGGGTGGGGAGAGTGAGGCTGGGTGGGGGGTAGGAGGGGTGGGGCTGGGTGGGGAGGGGCTGGTCACCCCGTGGTGCCCTTATAAAACTCAACGTTTAACCTACTCACGCCGGCTTGTGCCCGCCCTCACAGTCGGGCATATTTGCGGAATACACCACGCCGCCGTTGACCCTGGCCATTGACTAAGCAACCCAACGTTCCTACCAGCTCCCTATATTAACACAACCCACCGAGCCAGCCGTCGCAGCCTTCCTTCAGAAGCATCGTTTCGAGACGAGCAATACTCTGAACCGGTTTTCCACCTGCAGTGTCTCATCAGCGAGGGTCAGGCTCGCGGGAATCGAAGGTGGACATTGTGAAGATTACTTTGGAGCGTTCTTGCCACGTTTTTGAGGACTCGCATGCACGTGCGTATACGATCACAACAACGGTGGCAGCCCTTGATTAGTCCACTGTTCGACGAAGGCACTCCACGCCGTGCCAATAGTGAGGATTGATGAGACCCAAATGCTTCGTGACGCTGGGTGTTTGAGTCGTGCACATGGTGAGACACCACAGTCAACGGACGCGGAAGAGAAAGCCATTGCGTAGAGGGGGGGGGCAGGCAGATCAAAAGGAAGGCATCGATTTGGAGAGCATACTCTAACGAGTGAGTCAACCACGTTACATTCAGCTTTCATTTCAGTTTCATGTATTTGGTATAGCCCTGTGAGCCATTCGGCACTTGAATCGGGTGCAACCGCAACAAACAAAACACAAAACCACGGACAAGAAAACATCTTAAAGTGACTATGCGCAAACAGAAAAATCCAGGAAAAAAGTGCAAAATCTGTGACGAAAAGTCAGCCGGGGCGCATGGGCGAGATGCGTCAACGGCTGGCAAGGTCGGGGCGAAATGACACGAGCGGCAGCCACATGGATCGTGGAACGCGTCCGAGAGGACGTCTACAGCGGAGACGGAGCGACGACATTGGGGCCCATCTGACGCAGCAGCGTCAGAGGGAGCGGCCGCTGTTGTTAGCGCAGCTCTCCATCCAGCAGTGGATCGACCATGGCTGCTGCTGCTGCTGCTGATCATCATTATTAAGATGGCGAGGTGCACTATTAAAATATCCGTGGGAGATTGATCGACAATTCCATATCTCGCTGACCTATCCACCCGTCAACTCATGGGGTTATCTCTGCCTGGCCCATCTACTCTGCCACACCTGTGAATGGCCGTGGTATTGGACGTCGTTATTGGACACGGGCAAATAAATGAAACATTAATTTCTTCTCGGTTTAATTTTGGATTTGAGTGCTCGCACGAGGCAGGAACGTGCATGAGAGCAGAGCAGAGCGAGTGAGGAGAGAGTGTGAGAGTGTGAGTGTGTGTGAGTGTGTATGTGAGAGTGTGTGTGAGAGTGT